CCCCTGCCCCTGCATGGCGTCCCGCAGCCCCCGGCACCTGCCTACAGGGTTACGGTTGGGGAGAGCAGCCCGAGGGGGGCCTGTGTGTGCGGGAAGCCGGCCCTCAGGACCCCCTCTGCGCAGCGCCGCAGGGTCCAACGCAGAGCCGGGGTGTCCCCGCCAGCACCCCAGGGCGCACTGAGCAAAGCTATCCAGCTGCCCTACTCCCTCCCAAGTGGGTACCCCAGGACCAGGGGACCCCCCTTCCCAAGCAAAGCCCCCAGAGCCCAGGCCCGGCCCAGCCTCCGCCCCTCCCGCGGCGGGAGCGAACTGCATGCCCGGCGACGCAGCGGACACACGCGGTTTGGTTTGCAGCGACTGGCGCAGGTGGAGTGTCGGCGGCGGCGTTTGTAACGCAAGCACTTTCTTTTCTATTTCACTGGAGCACAATAAAATGGCTGTAAAACCTCCGGAGCCGTCAGGGACTCTGGGCACTGGGGCCTCGGGGGCTCTTGTACGCGCACAGACGCCGTCCCGCTTGGATACACCCCACCGGGGGTCCCTAAACTGGTAGGAAGGCGCCGCAGAGCAGGAGGTGGACAGGGAGTCCTGCAGTCTTTCTAGCACCTCTCAGGTCTGTCAGATCAGCGGGGCATCCGGGTCTTTCTCACAGGAGCGCAGACCTTACGGGGACCTAAGTGTGTGAGGAATCTGGGGGTACACCCCTTTGAGTCACCCTCAAACCATCACCACCCCCTAACCCTTGACAGATAAAGTGTCTTCCATGCAGCCAGTCCCTGGTGCCAAGAATGCACATGCGTGTCCCAGGAAACACACAAGTTGGGCGGGGTGGTACCCGCCTATAATCCCAGCACTCCGGAGGCTGAGGCAGGAGGATAGAAAGTTCAAGGTCAGCCTGAACTGCATAGTGAGACTGTGCCTCAAAAAAAAGCAAGCCCAGGGATTTAGCTCTGTTGTGCTGTGTCTGCCTGGCTGACACAAGGTCCTAAGTTGGATTCCTGGTACAAAAGAAAAGAAAAGAAAGGTATGCACATGGACTTCCTGTCCACTTGGCTGGATACAGGCCATGCATTCTGACACACTCAAGAAAAATTCACATATGGGCTGGGGATTTGGCTCAGTGGTTCCGTTCCCCGCCTCACAAGCACAAGGACTGGGGTTCAATCCCCAGTACCAAAAAAAGAAAAAAAAAAGAAAAACGCAAATACGTACACCCCAACAGTCTGAATACAACCATGCACACACACATTCCGTATGCACTTGCACCTACAATGTACAAAAAACATACGCTGGCCCGGGGGTGCGGCTCAGTGGTGAGCACTTGCTGAGCTTGTGCAAAGGCCCTGGGATCCATCCCCAGTACAGCAAAGAGAAAACAAGTCTAACTGTGCTCTGCCGACAGACCCTACCCGGAAGACCACACAAGGTCCACATATCTTTTCCTAGAGCCTGTGGTTTGTGATGAGGAAGACCAACAGCTGAGACTCAAGAGATGGGCTGCAAACCCTCACTCACTGGCTAGGTGACCTTGGACAGGCCCCTCCCCCACTCCGGGCGTTTCTTTCCACTGGGAAGATGGGCACAATGACTCCTGTAGGGAAGGACACCACAAATTGCCATGCAAAGGTCCTGGGGCCCCCCTTTGGCCCGGGACTGCGGGGACAGCGGGAAGCCTCTGGGCCGGGGCTGTGATCTGTGAGGGAGCAGTTGAGGGCTTACTGGTTGTGTACCACGTCTGCTGTCCCAGCCCAGAACTGTAGTTTGTGGCCAGGACTCCTACCCCCTTGTGCTTTTGAGTGGACCCCGTTTTCCCAGTGAAGAGATGGCCCTAACCATCCTGCCTGGAAGCCGCCAGCCGTCAGCCCTCCAGGGAGGAATGCAGAGATGGGAGGGGGACCTAGAGCTGTCTGTACCCCCTCTGCCTGCCCGAAGGCAGGGGTGAGGCCAGAACTCGGGGACCCAGAGACAGACACCAGAAGCCCCACACCCAGACGCACAGCCCCTGGGGCCTCGTAAAGCAGATTCCAGGCTCTCCGGGAGGAAGACCAGTGCTGGCCTGAGGCCGGGCCTTGCTGTGAAAACAGCACCATATTAGCACTCGGCCCCTTGGAGGTGGAGGAGCTCCTCCTGCCGGCCCTGCAGGGCACCCCCACCCAGGTACCTGCCTGCCGGGCCCTGTGGGCAGAGGCGGGGCTACCCGAGGTCAGTACCAGAAAAATTGCCATGAAAGGATCCTGGGGCCCCTGGCAGCGCAGCCAGGTGGTCAGCGTCTTCCTCAGCCCCTGGCACTTGCTGCTGTCCTGGGCAGGCCCCAGAGCCACCTGCTCCTCCATCCTGCAACCTTTCCTCGGTGCCGCCCAGGCTCCGGAGCTGGACCTGCCCGGGTGGCCAGGGTCAGGGGTGTCACCCTTGCGACTGTCCCAGGGGTCCCCCAGCTGCTCACGCCGGCCACGTGCATCCTGCGGGCGCCTCCCACCTTGGCAGCAGGCCCCTTCTGTTGACGCTGCTCGCGTCCCTCCCCACGAGAGCCCCCAGCCCGAGAGCTGTCCCCTCTGCCTGGCTCTGGACTTTTAAGGAAGTGGATCGAGGACGGTAGAGCCTGGCTCTCCCTGGGTTCAAGTTCCAGCCGTGCCTCTCCGCTGATTCTTATTCTGTGAACTTGGGGTGACCTGGCCTTTGTCTCAGGGAGCTGGGTGTGGCCTGGGTGGCCCATCTAGGAAGCACCCCCTCGTCACCCTCCTCCACTGCCACCTTCCCTCCCCGGTTTTCATTGTGACCGCTGTAGACTCGGGGTCACATTTCACCCCCGAATCACCCAGGAACTCAGCACGGCCAGGAATCTGCATTAGTCGTTTTATTAGGGACTCATAACTGACAGCTGTCCCCAAACCAGCCCTGCCTCCTCTACAAAAGCAACTAAAGAGGAAGTGCGGCTTCCAGTCAGGGCAGGGGCGCTGGCTCCCTCTGCCAAGGGGGCTGGAATGAGGGCTTGGACTCCAAGACTGCGGGCACGGGGAGCACTGCTGTCTAGGAGGCTGGAGAAGCTGCACCCATCTCCTGCCCAGACAGGCCAATGCCCCTCAGGGAAACCGGAGCCCAAAGCTAGGGAGGCTGGGGTCAGAAGAGGCAGCGGCCACGAGAGCCCTGATCAGGGCCCTCAGGCCTGCCGACTCAACCCCACCCCAAATCTAGGGGCACACGCACACTCACACCCTTCACGCAGACACACAGGAGGCCACGACAGCCCCGGACCCACCCCCGACCCCTGGAATGTCTCTGCTTTGGAACCCAGTGGGCGGGTCCACGGCAGGCGGGGCTGCCAAGGGGGTGGGTCCTCGGTGTCGCTACTGATTGGCTGCCTCGCAGGCGTCTATCCAATCGCTGTACACATCCACGGGTTCTGACAGATCTGAGGCGCTGAGGTCAAGGATGATTGGTGGCAACTGGACCCCTCCCTTGTACCACACCACATGGCTAAATCGGCCGCAGACACCCGAGCCTCTGGCTGGCTGGCGCCCTGCACCAGCGCACAGGGCTGGGCCTCTAGCCCGCTCCCCTGGCCAGGCAGCCCCAGCTGTCCGACTGGCCCCCCCATCCCCCTGAGAAGACAGTGGGCAAGGATACAAGTGATGGGCGTCTGGAATTCCTCTAGGCACACGGTACAGGAAATGACTCCGGTGTTGCGGGCGCGGTCCCTGAAACAGGCGAGGTTGGGCAGTGACCCTTCAGCCTGCAGGTGGCGATCCTCCAAGCTGGGAGGCCCTAGGCAAACCGGAGGACGGCAGGGAAGGACAGGGAGCGAGAGATCCCCGTGTCACGGAGGCAGGATGCCCCAGCCCACTCACATTTTTACGTCACAGGACTTCTCATGATTGCAGAAGGGGCAGGTGAACTGGGTCTCCAGGGTGCCCGTCATCTTCTTCTTGGGGGGTGGTTTCCTTTTAGACTTCCTGCGTCCCATGGCTGCAGGTGGATGAATCTAGGGGCATAGAAAGGGCAGAAGTCAGACGTCTTGCTATGTATTCCAGGCTGAACTTGAACTCACTACATAGCCCAGGTTGTCCTAGAACTCAGTGATCCTCCTGCCTCAGCCTCCCAAGTGGTAGGACTGGGATGATAGGTTTGTGCCACCACTCGGGCTCCAAAACTCCAATTCTGAGGGACAAGGCTCCCAGCTCTGGTAGGACAATTTCCACAGGTTCTGGGCATCAGGGGTGAGAACAGGCTCTAACCCGAGCTCCCTAAATTACTGTGTGACCTTGGGGGAGTTACTTAACCTCTCTCTGTCTGGTTTCTTTGTTTTATAAATCAGAGATGAGCCAGGAGTGGTGGCACATGACTGTAAACCCAACACTCAGCAGGCTGAGGCAGGAGGATCACTTACTTTGAGGCCAGCGTGAACTACATAGCAAGACTCTGTCTCAAAACAAAGTAAAACAAAAACCAAAAGAATTTCAAATACTGTTAAGTGCTTTGAGGGTACCAGAGTTCAGAAAAGTTTCTGGGGCAGAGCTATGAAGAGACTGGAAAGGACCCTTCCTAAGTGGGTGTCATTTAAACTGAGGCCTGAATGTCAGGAGGCAGCCAGGATGTCCAGGCAGAGGGAGCAACAAGTGCAACGGCCCTGGGGTACATCCCGGTTTTATCAGGAGTAGGGCTGCAGCTCAAGGCGAAACAAGGAGAAGGCCATGAGAGGAAAATACCAGCCCCGGGACCCTGCAAGTCTGAGGAAGTTGTAGAGTAGCCTGGTTCGCAGCCTGTGTTGTCACCTGCTGGGCAGCAGTGTGTCTTTCCCCGACCCCGGATGCCCAACCGACATCAAGCACGTAGCAACCACGTGTTGAATGACCCCTTGGCTAGGGCTACGGTCGGACCCCGGAACCTCACGGCACTCGAGTATCACAGATTCCCCTGCCCCATCCCAGGATCTGGGTCTGGATCGCGCCAAAGCCCAAGCACGTCGGGGTGGCGGTGGAAGAGAGTCGATTCCCCCCCCCAACCCGCCGGGACCCCAGAGGTGGCGAATGGGCCGTGACCGCCGGACCAGCGGGGCATCAGGGTCGCCTCCTGATCGCCATCCGCAGGACTCAGGCCCGGAGCTGACCCGCTCGGTGCGCGGCGGTCCGGGGAAAGCATCCCGTCCTTGCGGCACCTAAACCAGAGGCCGCTGATGCCTGCTCCAGGGTCCCAGTGTGACCCCGAGCAGAAAGGGTCCCAGTTCCGCAGGGTCCCAAGCCCGACAGCACAAACCCTCACCTGCACTCGCTTTCCCTCGCTGCAAAGGCCAGTTCACCCGGGAGACAGTGACTTCCGGCTCCTGGCGGAAGTGACGATCGCGCTTCTACTCACGTCCCGCCCAGCCGTAGCTAAGACAACCGGGAGACTAGGCCCCGCCTCCTTCCGCGCCTTCCGGGTGTGCATGCATATTCAAATTACGAGCTGGGCGCTGGAGACGCAGTGCGCCTGCGCAGCAATCGGAGCCCTTGTAGTTTTCGCAGGCTCCTGACTACTGTTCTAGTTCTAGTTCCAATAGTGGCTGTTCTAGCGTCGCATTGGACCACTCCGTCTGTCCCTATCTGTCTTTTCTCCTTTCTTTGAGACGGGGTCTCGCTGTGTAGTTCAGGCTGGCCTTGAACTCACTATGTAGCCTAGGCTGGTCTCAAAGTCGAGATCCTCCTGCCTCCCAAGTGCTGGATCACAGGAGTGCTCTCACTTGTCTTTTCTCCCAGTTCCTGTCTCAGCCCTAGCCAAAGCCTACCTAGTGGTGGTCTTCCCACTTCTACACTGTTCTTTTGTTTTTGTTTGTTTGTTTGTTTGTTTTTTGAGACAGGGTCTCACTATGTAGTTGAAACTGACCCGGAACTCACTATGTAGCCCAGGCTGGTCTCGAACTCACAGCGAACCTCCTGCCTCAGCCTCCTGAGTGTGCCATCACATCACGCCCGGCTTGTTTTGTTTTTTAAAATGGGGTCTCCTCATGCAGCCCAAGCTGGCTTCGAACTCAGAGCAATCTTCCTGCTTCAGAAGCCTCCCCAGTGCTGGGATTACAGGTGTGGGGACATGGTTCTTTTAAATATCCCAGCCCTGACTAGTACCAGCTCATAACCTTAGGACAGACTGGGGCAGGGTGTGTAAAAAATAAAACAAAAAACAAAACAAAAAAACCCTCCTCTGCTCAAGCTCTAAGACCTCCTTGGATCTGTGAAAAATTCAAATTCAACCCTGAGGTGAAAGTGCAAACCTGTAATCCTACCATAACCCTAGCACTCTGGGAGGCTGAGACAGGAAGATCTGAAGTTCAAATGGAGCCTTTGAAACATAGTGAGACCCTGTCTCAGAATAATAAAACAGGCCGGGTACATAGCTCAGTACCACCTACCACAACAAACAAATCCTCCCTAGCTTCTGGGATGGAGTTGGCAGAAGGGAGCTAGGAGAGGATTTGAAAGCCTAGGCAGAGGCCGGATGAGTATGGCGGCCCAGGCGAGGGGAGCATTAATGGAGGCGGACAGAAGTTCACACACCTAGAAGTCTGGATTGGAACCCAGGTGTACCAGTCAGTGCTTACTAGAGCAAACGGGCTACAAAATATACAAGAATATATAAGAACTTACAAAAGTGGTTCACAGATGGCTGCCAAGAGTCAGTGGGACAGAGCGCAAAATGTCTGTCTGGGCACTGAGGATCTGAAGGGTTCAGGCGAAGGCCTAGAGCTCTGGGTAGCGTCCCGAGTCTCGTGTGTCCCGCCTGAGTCCTTATCAGGAGGCCAAAGGGTCTGCACTGGAAGCCAGGAGATGATGTCTAAAGTGTAAGACTGGAGCCTCCAAGACTGGAGCCTCTCAGAGGAAACACAAGCAGTCCCGCCTTCTTCGTTTCCCTTGTTTACCTTTCTGGTGATACTCCTCCCTAGGGTAGTGCAGTGTGGCCGGGCGTGGTGGCGCACGCCTGTAATCCCAGCACTCCGGAGGCTGAGGCAGGAGGATCGCTGTGAGTTCGAGACCAGCCTGGGCTACACAGTGAGTTTCGGGTCAGTCTCAACTCCATAGTGAGGCCCTGTCTCAAAAATCCAAAACAAAAACCAAAAAACAAAAAACCGCAAAGTAGGTGGGCATGCCTTACTCAAATCCACACAATCAATCAATCCTCACACCTTGTTTTGTTAGCTTTTGGATATGGAGTGGGCAGGGCCAGGCCCCAGGCATTCCTCAATTTACAGGGGTCTGCAGTAAGGAACAGTGCGACTTTTTGTTTTTTTGAGACAGGGTCTCACTATGTAGTTGAGACTGACCTGGAACTCACTGTGTAGCCCAGGCTGGTTTTGAACTCACAGCGATCCTCCTGCCTCACCCTCCTGAGTGCTGGGATGACAGTCGTGCGCCACTACGCCCGGCTCAGAACAGCGCAATTTTTCAGTGCCCTCCTAGCCAGGTGTGGTGGTGCAGGCCTGTGATCCCAGCATGCTGGAGGCTGAGGCAGGAAGATCCCCTTGTGCTTGAGGCCAGCCTGATTATGTAGTGATGTAAGACCTAAAGTCTCACTTCCACTCCACGGAGCGTGAACAGCCGAAAGGCCTCCACGATGCTGGGCCCTAACACCCAGCGAGGCTCCGGGAACACGACAGAGAACGAGAAACCCAGGAAGGAACACACCAGGCTAGATGGTAAATAGACCTTTATTAGTCTGGCCAGACGGCACTCCCGGAGCCAGGTGGCTCAGAGAGGCAACTGCTCAGGGGCTGAGGTACTTTTTATAAGATTTTACTAAACAAAGAGTCAGGGAATTCACAGAACAAGACTGCAAACACATTGCTTATCTTATGCAGGAAATGTTCTAGGGTCACCTTTTGTCAACCATTTGCCCCTGGGCGGGCTGTTAACCAAGGTAGCAATTAGCATATGAAGAAGCACAGTCTGGCCTATTAGCATGGAGTCACTTTAGCCTATTCAAGTCTTACAGTGAGTTCAAGGCCACCCTGGACTACGAGACCCACTCTCAAAAAAACAAACAAACAACAACAACAAAAACCAAAAAAACACAAAATAATGGGCCAGAGATTTAGCTCAGTGGTACCATGCCTGCCTGGCAAGAGCAAGGTCCGGAGTTTGATTCCTTGAGGCGCCCCCAAAAAGTTGGTAAAAAAGAGAAAGATCTGCATGGATGTGGGGAGTCATTACCGCATGGGGGTTCTTTGAAACTTTGGGACGGAGGAGGCACAGGAGAGGGATGCGAAGGACCCCAGAGCTCAGTGGAAAAGAACCTTTGGGAACCCGCGGCCAGTGAGGTGGGAGGAGGAGGCTGGGGGGCCTTTCCTAGACACCCGCGGGAAGGTCTTTCCATATGGGGACGGGTTGATTTAAGGGCATAGCGTGGCAAAGCTGGCTGGGGAAATAAACGGGACCTGTGAGTTACAAGGTCCCAGGACCGCGCCAAATAATTCTCAGGGACCCGTATGTCCAACTTATCGCGGGCTCCCACGAGATTTGGACGACGTGTAAGGACAGACAGACCCCAGGGGGAGTCCACATAGGGTGCATTTTATTTTTGCTGTTTTTCTCTTGTTTGGCCCTAGTTTTCGCTGCAGAACCAGTTTTCCCCTTACCCCTTTACCCATCACTTTTCAGATAAACTTTTGGGACCTCTTTTTTTTCTTTTTTTTCTTATCTCTTCGTTCAAGGCAAGAAGTTCACTTGGTAAACCATTTCTGCAGGAACCACCAGATAACAAAGGTCACCGAGTCACTTGTGGCTGAGAGCCTGAGGCCGAGGAGGAATGGACCGCATTGGATGAGGCAAGCGTTGGCTGCCTGGGGACCTTGATAACAGCCGTGGCATTAGAGTGTTCTGCAAAATAACTTTAAAAAATAGACTTTACGAGTGCGTATCAACTTTACAAAATAGTGAGCTTTGCCGCGCCTGGTGGCGCACGCCTGTCATCCCAGCACTCGGGAGGCTGAGGCAGGAGGATCGCTGTGAGTTCGAGACCAGCCTGAGCTACACAGTGAGTTCCGGGTCAGCCCCAACTACATAGTGAGACCCTGTCTCAAAAAACAAGCGCAAAACCAAAACCAAAATAGTGAGCTTCAATGTTGTGGCTTGTGTCTAGCTGTCCCCGACCCCACCCCAAAGCCTCACTGTGGTCCTAGGGGGAGCTTTTCAGAGGTGGCTGGGTGTAGAGCATGACCGCTGAGACCAAAGGCGTGTGGCCACTACGTCCACCGGTTGGTTTTCCGTAGTTCTGGGTGTGCGTGACGAAGAGGGCCAACCTGGGTGCGAGTGCTTCCCACCCGAAGGGCGCGCAGCCAGACGGGGACCGCAAGAGGGCTGTCAAGGTTGCTTTGCTGTTTCATGGCTTTGTGCCTGCTGCCTTCTCTGTGATGCCCTCTGCCATGTGCCACTCTGCCTTGGCTCCCACAAGCTATGGCCTGAAACCTCTACAAACTGTGAGCCAGATAAACCCTTCCTCCTTGAACTCTGGGTGTTGGGTATCTTTTGTCATCGACGAAACAAAGTAACTCAGGCCAATGTGGTGTTTTCGTACATGCATGTGACATTTTGTTTGTTTTTGAGAAAGGATCTTGCTATGTAGCCCAGGCTGGCCTTGAACTCGCAGCAGCCCTCCTGCCTCAGCCTCCCCAGGGCTGGGTTTAGAGGCCTGCACCGCAATGCCTAGCTATAACGCTCTTTTTTCCCATTAAGTTTATTAGTATATTTTAGGGATACAATACAGTTACATTCAACATTGGGGCTATAACACTTTTTTTTTTGGACCCAGGGCCTTCACACCGAGCTATATCCTCAATCCTTTTAACACTGCCATTTTAATAGGGGTACACAGTACCGTTACATTCATCACTGGGGTCTTGTACCTTTACATGACAGGTCTTGGTTCTCATTTTTTCCCCTTGTCCCTGCCCTCCCTTCACCCCCTCCTCCCCTCCCCATTTACAAACATTTTATTTCCATTTTTTCCTTTTCTCATATTTTTCTTTTCCCTTATTACCCTTCCCCTACCCTTCCCACTTCCCCTACACCTTTAGCCCTTTTCTTCCTATTTCACTTTGCCAGTTATACAATTTGGATCTTATTTACACTTTTAGTTTTTCACACCAGAGAAACGATTCCGTATTTACACATGTGGAAATAATTTGTAAGAAGTATTTCAAATATCTGGATCTCCATGACATCCCCTAGGGGGCAGTGTTACCCTTGGACCAGCCGAGGTTTTTCTGTTGTTGTTTGTTTTTGTTTTGTTTTGTTTGTTTTTGAGACAGGGTCTCACTATGTAGTTGAGTCTGACCTGGAACTCACTATGTAGCCCAGGCTGATCTTGAACTCACAGAGATCCTCCTGCCTC